ACTTTGATTAATTAATGTTTTGTTCCCAGATTTGTCAAGTTCAGCTGTTTTTTGGTTTTCTTTTTTTTCCCACCGAGATCATGCTCTATAAGCAGTTCTTTTGCTATGTATTAATAACTCTGCTATAAGTAGGACTGAGCACGGTGTGTTTGACTACTCTAAATTTTTTTTTTAAATGAATTCAAGCATATCAGAATCCACACATTTCCAGAGCAATAAGCCCGTGGTGCTTCATGCACTGCCCATATCATCATTCACCTCATTTAATTTGTTTTGTTAGTTTTTTAAGTTGCTAGTTTTTCTAGAAAAACTGCAGACAATTAACTTGTCAAGATGGGTGGTGAAGATCTATGGTGCCCATAAAAATGTGCACGTTGGATTCCTTGACATGAATTATGGGCTGTTTCTGTTGGTTTAGCAATACTTGCGCCAGCATCTCTGTTTTAGTTGTGTCAGGGAGCAAGGATTGAATCATTCTAAATTTGTTTGTTTGTTTCATTCAAGGAGAATAAAAGAATTTACAGCAAATGCAAAGGGAATGTCAGTTCGGTGTGAGGTTTTTTGGCAACTTTAGCTTCAGCTAAGAAGTGTTGAGGTTTTTACCTCATTAAGGATTAATAGATGCTTCTGATAAATTACAGAAAACGCTCTGATCTGAATTTTCCAGACAAGTTAGAAGATATTGTCAGTAAGACTTTTTGTAAGACTTGCTTCCTCCCAAAGGGCAAATGCTTGTACAGGACCAGCTGTGAAGCCATCGTGGTGTGCCCAGTGAGACTGGTGATACTGTGCACAAAACAGCCAGAGCCCTGGGGTGCAGCCCTGCCAAAGCAGACTCGTGCTGCTGGTTCTGTTAAAAGAAAGTAGGCCAGAAATCCGAGTTTGTTCCCTTCTCTGTGTTCCCTTGCAGAAGGCAGAAGAGCAGCTTGCTGCCTGTCTGGACGCAGAGTGTGCATATGTGATGTCTGTGTGGCTGGAATTTAGGCTCAGGAGCTTCACTGGAGCCAGAACGTTGCTCAAGTATGACAGAGCAAGAACAACCTCATCCTCCTCTTCAGGCAAAACAAAGATGGGCTGCTCTTTTCTTGCCCCTTGATGATCATATATCAATGGCAATAATTTAAATGGATGCATTTAAATACAGGCCTTATTGTGTGTGTAGTGTATGGTGCAGAGCAGCCTGATACTCCAGTGTTTTAGTTGATAAAAACATTACAACACTCGTAGGGACACTGTCCCATCATGGGAAGTGGCAGCTTATTTTAAATGAAGCCTAAACTGAGGTTTATTCTATAAACAGTCTCTGTGCATTGGCCAGGTTCCTGGGAGGCAAATGTCTGACCATAGCACACTGGCTGGAGCCCGAGGGTTTGGTGTTAATCCCCAAGGCCCACCCTGGCCTGGCAAGGTGCAGCACTGTGAAGAGCTGTCTTTTGATGCTGATGACCTCTTGTGTCAGGTACATTCCTCAAGAGCTAGCAAAGCCAGGAGGGAAAGTGCCCCTCTGCAGTGGGGCCAAGGGTCTCATTGTGGGGCAGGGGAATTCTCAGATTTTTGGGACTTGCTGGAAATCACTTCCACAACTGTCAAGGAGAAGAAAGGAGTGATGGCCACAAGAAAGCAACAGAGTAGAAAGGGATCAGTGAAAACCTTTGTGAATTCCCTACCAGGGTGGTCAAACACACGAGCACCATGTACATGCTGCCCCTCTTCAGGCATGGACTAAAGAGAAGCAGGGGCTTTGCACCAGGATTTCTGAAGGACCCTCATTGTGTGCACCCATCTGTGCTCCCGTGGGTGCTGTGAACCCCTCAGGCCTGGCCTGGGTTGTTCTGCTGGGGCCTCTCTGCAGACAGATGCTGTTCTGAGCTCAGCTGCTGCTTGCTGAACAGCCTGGTTGGCTCTTCGGGGTTGTTCATCTGGCACCAATTCTGCACGTTCAGTGCTGCTGCTTTATGGGGTGGCAAGTGGCAGATGCCCAAGGGACTCCCAACTGAAGGTGTCCAGAGGTCTGGTAGTGGCAGGACCCACGCTCAGGATTTCGTGGTGGCAGGGGGTAGCTACTTGTCCTACAAATAATTTGCCTCTTCCTCTCCTGGGTGCATTTCCCACTTGGTTCTTTGGCTGTGTCCCAGAGCCACGTGTGCTCCTGGTGGTTGTGTAGCAGCCAGGTTCCCATCCCTGTTTGACTCTCTGCCAGCAAGGACATTTCTTTCCTAGTTTCATGCTACATTCCTGAAGTTTTTGTTGATGTTCTTTGCTACTTGCACAAGTTAAGTGAATGAAAACTGAAACTGGTTAGGGCTCCCCACCCCTTGCCCATATATTCTTTTACCTTTATGAAGGCAAATTACTTTTATTAACTCTCTTAAAACATATTATCAGCTCCCTGGCAGAGAGATTTAGATATGGCAGAAGAAATCTGCTGTAGGAGCAGTGCCTTTCCCACTGTGAATACCAATGACCAATTTAATGGACGGGTTCCTCATCAGCATTTCCTAATATATGGAAAAAGAAAATGAAGTCATCCTCATGCTTCTCAGTCTTACAGGGACCATAAGAAGTAGTGAATAATCCAAAAGGTTCAGCTGAGAGCAGACTGAGATGAAAGCTCAGTGACTTTAAGAGGCATCTAACTCAGCTGCCTGAGTTGTTGTCCTGTGCTGTTTTCTCTGCCTCATGAGTAAAGTGAGCCCAGTGAGGCTGTAAAACCTCTGGATCCAGGGCAGACCCTGGCACTCCCTGGGAATCTTTCCACTGACCTCACTGGGGCTTGGACAAAGTGATTTAGCCCTAATACAAGTGGGACTGTGTGTGAGACAGGTAAGACCTTCCAGGATCTGTTTATCTGAAATCTGTATTGTGCTTGAATATCACAAAGGGGACTAAACAGCTCCTTGGCTGGGCATCAGGCTGGCCCATGAGCATAAGAAACTACCTAGAAATTATTTTTTACCTAGAAGTGCTGCAGGAGAGGGATGGTCCTTCAGAAAATGTGTGGACAAAGGGCTTCCTGGGAGCCACTGGTCTGCATGGGGTGATAAACTTAGACCCACATCTCCAAACTCACTTATCTCAACCCCTTGCATGTCCAAGGTGAGGTCGTTGGGATGATGATGGCTGAGCTGGGAATGCCTTTGTGCCTGCCAGCTGCTTTGCTTAGATTAATCTGTGTTGTGTGTGTTTGGATGTCCCAGCCTGGGGTCAGCCACCACTGGGGTCACAGCAGCAACTTTCCTTTCTGTTGTCACACGTGAAGGATCTCCCTAGAAACTACCCCGTTTTCCTGAACAATGAAAATGCAAATGAAGAATGTCAGCTCTGTACCCAAAAATAAGATTTCAAAACCATTTAGCATTTCACAGTGGTTCAGTGACAGCTTGAAGACTTGCAGTTGTCTCTCATGATGAGAGACAGGCAGAGCTCCCCAGCTCATCCTCAGAGCTGAGCACCAATGAGTGCCTTAGCCCAAAACTTCTAATGTCTGTGTTATTTGTACTGCTTTTCAACTTCAAAGAGCTCGAAAAACATTAATGCAACTTCACAAAAGGCTTCTGTTCTTGCTGCCACTCTACAGATGGGGAAATGGAGACGTGCCTGAACCTGGCTGGGGGCTGCTGGGGCTCAGCACACCCAGATGGGGTCTGGCCACTGGCAAGGCCATGGGCAGCCCCTCGTACCAGCACACAGTTGCTGGATAGTTTCTCAAAATATTTGAATGTGTCATGATTTCAGACCTCTTCAAACTGCTCAGAGATTTTTCTGTTTCAAAATCTGTCTTTCTTTAGAATTACTGACAGAGACGTGCAGAGGGATGGACACTTCAGTTTCCTTTTCCCCTTCTTTTTTTAAATTATGGGCTGAAAAACCTGTGATGTAAAGCACAGACTTCCTCCTACCTGGGGAGAAAATGCTGAGCAGATTCTGAAAACTGAACTGTAAAAACAAAAGACAGCACCCATCTCGTGGTGCAGGGGGACTGTGGTGGTGCAAAGGGCTCAGCTGGAGGGGCTGGGTACATGCATGGGGCTTGGGCACCCCTGGTCCCCCTGGTGCTGCAGGTGGACAACCAGCCTCTGCAGCATTCTGTGGTGTTTTAGGGGCTGAATCTCCTGGGTGTTTCAGCCAAAATCCTTTCCTTCTTGGTAGCTGCCTTGAAGGATTTTTCCTGAAGTGTAGTTTTAGATACATATGCAGTGAGCAAAGCACAGTGTTCTCAAAGAGCCCATTCACAAAGAACAAATGAGAGCTCTGTACAGTAAATACCATCCAGAATTACACTGTCATTCTGGACCTAGCAGAATTTGATGGGCCAAGTGATTCATCCATCAAAATAATTTTCCAGAAAATCATGCTACTCCAAGAGTATGCTTTTTATTAAAGGAAAATATCACTCTTAATGTTCAATACTTCTTGGCTTTGCCATCAAAAGTTAAAAGATTAAGCAGAACAAAAACTGTATCTCACAGGTTTTTTTTGTGTTTGATTCAAAGGAATGGAACTGCAGGGTGTTAATTTGTAGGAGGAATTTTTATGCCAATGCCAGGCAAAGTTTGGGGGGGGTTGTTTTGGGGTTTGGTTTTTTGCTTTTAATTTTAACAGTTTAATATACTAGCATGAGGATCTCCAGCTTATTCCAGAGTGGTGAGCTAACCCTTCTTAGGGAGGTAGAGGAGTACACCATGAATGGGTTGATGGACTCACCAGGCTATTTTTCACTGTCTTTCTGACCAAGTGAGGTGTAAAAGCCCAATATCCCTCATGGGGGCACCCCCAGCTCCACCAAACACCTTCTCCCTAAGAAGGCTGCGTGCTCTGTGGCACAAGCTGTCTCTCACAGAGATTATTTTTCCCCCAACTGCATCAGCACAGGGCATCCCCAATGGGCACAGCGCAGTGCCATTCACCCAGGACCCACTCCAGAGCTGAATGCTCTTTCTGCTTTCTTAATAAAAAAAAAAAAAAAAAGGAAGAAACAAAGCAATAGTTACAAGGAGACGTGCCTTGGTTGGGGGAGCACACACCCTATAGCGAGACCCAGACATTTTAAAAAATACAAATCTTTTCAAAGCCCTTTCTGGCACGTTAGGTGGGCGCTGGGAAGATCAGTGCTCTGGTTCTGCATCCATGCAGGTCTCCCAGGGGTTCTGGGGGAAGCGAGGCAGCGCGATCAGGAGGAGGGCGATGCCGAAGAGGAAGAGCAGGACGAAGGAGGAGCAGGCACAGGCAAAGGACCAGGAGTAGCTGTACTCAATCCAGACTGTCTCCTTGCTGTCAATCATCCTCTTCACCGACTGTCTCATCACTTCAACAGAGATGATGATGCAGAGACCTGGAGGAAGATAGGAAGAGTGGGCGGAATAACCAGCTCTCAATTCTTCATCCCTAATTAACCCCCTCATCTGTCTTTTTGCATACAGGAATTGCAGTGAGAGTCCCAGGTGAGTCATGGACTTTGAAGGAACCAACGCTCAGAACTGCTTAGAGCTCTGCTGTAACCCAGGCCACCCGAGTCAGCTGGTGACATGTTGGGTGTGATCTTTTAGGCAGGCTTGGGTGGGAAAGGCAAAGCAGTGGAGGAGTCGGTGCCTTCCCCAGGGAGCCCTCCCAAAGTCTTAGTATGGTTTTTACTGAGGTGATAATTTGTAGCTCTGTCTTTCAGCTATAATGACATGTCAAGGTATTACTAGACCATGTGAAAAATGCAGTCTTGATGTTTTCAGGAGATATCTGCCTATTTTGGGTCTGGATCAGCTGTTTCTTTGGTCTGAGATTTAATCAGTGAGACAGGACAGTGGGTATCCCTGGTTTAGACAGGGACCAGCACTGAATGTGCTAGAAATGCCCATTTTGAAGGTAGCTGGAGAAAATACCGACAAGCTGCAGGGTAATGCTCAGTGAGAAGGACATTTTCAGAGCTGCAGCAACACATAGGACTTGTAGTCTGACTGTGGCTAGGAGGAAAATGACACTTTCAGGGCATTTTTAGAAGTGTCTCCTTTCTCCCAGTATCTGAGTTTCTCTACACTGTCCTATGAACTGAGTGCAAGTACGTGAGCACTGAGCCTCCTACCTGCAAAGGTGTAGAACATGGAGGCTGGCTTCAGCAGATAGTCCCTCTTCTTCCCAAAGGATAATAGGACACAGATTGTTCCGATGATTGCAAAGCCAATGCTGAAGATGGCAATAGCTGCTGCTGAAATGCTGTATTCTGCCAAAACAAACACACAAAAAAAGGCAAATGCATGCAAATTCTGAGCATGGACCCATCAGCTGTGGTGACTTTGCAGTAGGTCACTGAGAAATACATTTACTCCTGCTGCTGTGGAAGAGGTGGCTCTGGTGAATTGAGTATTTCCCTCAAAAGCTGGGGCAAGTACTAGCCACACAGCTTTCGAATGTGAAAGGTATAAGACCAGAGCAGGAGTGGGAAACACTTTCTGAACTCTTCCTGAGGGAGCAGATGGCACCTGCATTGGTCTGGTGGAGCTCTGGGCTGGAGTCGTTTTAGCTCTGCTGCAGACACGTTGCTGTTGAAGCCTCACCAGGCTCCACACTCGGATTTCGTCTGTCAGCCCACACTGCTCTCAGAGCAGACTGACACCTCTGTGCTGGTTTTATGCCATGTGTGTGCTGCAGGGCCCCGAGCAGCCCCCGTGCCTGCTGCCCGTGGTGTAGGGTGCAGCCAGCCAGCCCCGTGCTCCCCAGGGCTCAAAATCCGAGCAGCAAAGCAGCCAGGAGGCCAGAGGGGAAGTGTTTTATCCCTGCCCCCCCCCTTTAAGACGATGATTTCCAGCTCTGAGAAAACCCAGTTTCCTCAGGGCATGGGGATGAACCTCCACAAAGTGTCCTGGTTTTCACTGAGGCAGCAGAGACGTGCGCTGGACACTTCCCCTGGCCGAGCACACTTCAGTGCCTGAGTGGAGGGGAGAGTTGTTAATTGAATAATTCAGGCCTTCATTTACATATTGCATTCGTTTTCAGATTAGTTTAATATTTAACACATGTAGCCATGCGTGAACATCACAGTGCCTGATGATATTTGCCTTTCAAGCCATTAAAAAAAATATCTCCCAGGCAAAACCATGAAGAATTTTTTGCCTGTTACTAATTAGCTCCCATCAAATCGTAGCTCTTTCTGCAAAAGGGAACAGCAGATCCCTCTTTGTTCTCACTGCTTTTCATACCACTGTTTTATTATAATTCCCTTAATGTCTCTCTTTACTATGTTCTGGAACTGCCTGAAAGAGTTTCTTTCAATGTAAAATCTTTTGCTGGGGCTTAAGCTTTTTCTTTTACTTCAAAGTAAAGAACTTCTTCCTGATTTTTTTTTTTTTTTCTGAAATTACTTAGAAGTCATCAGGTGCATTTTTAAAATTGGATGGCTGGATGTGCTGGTGTATAAAGGAGCAAAAGCAGGTAGCTCAGATATGTGTTCTTCTATCCACTTAGAATTTCCAGTCTTTCCTGTCATGGGAAACTGCTTTTTTTTTTTGCAGGGGTTTCCACCATTATTATTTCCACTGGAAGCAAAGCAGATTGTCATGTCATCACCAGCTCCTCTCCTCCTTAACAACATGTGTTATGTGGCAAACTAGAAAGGAATTTGTCCTTAATGAGAGGGTGAGAAAGAGAGAGGAGCACGTTAGGTGAGGGCTCAAAATATTTGACTTTATCTGGGACTTAATAGAAACATGAAATTTGCCTGTGAAAGCCCTGCTCTGTAAACATGGACTGTGAGAGCCTTTGTAGACTCTCTGTTCCTTCTTTCCATCGATTGCTCTGCTTTTTACATGACTTTCATAAAAAATCAATATGAAGCCTAAAATTCCTAAGGGTCTTCACTGTCTCTGTAGTTCTTTTCAGGGTCAAGACTCTGCTTGAGGTATGATTTTGTTCATGTCTTCTTCCTTCAGTGGCAAAGGCTCAGGGTTTGTGAGTAGTGCCAGTGTCGTAAGGTCATTTTTATGCTGAAAAGACTTTTTGCACTTTTCATGTGTACTGACATTGTTGTATATTTGTGAGACAACTTTGAGTAAAAATCGCACTTAGGAGTGTGAGCATATATAAAAATTATTCTTGCTAGGAAGTTGGCATTTGACCTTGTTCAGAGCATTTTTTTTACGTTTTTCCCAGCTTGTGGTATATAATAGAATTTCCTCTACTGCTCTCAGTGGAACCAGAATTAACTTTCATTTTGGGGACCCCTTTACCTTAAATCTTCTGTGCACTTCAATTAAGAAAACATTTTCCAGCATCTTTCTTACCTTTCTGGGTGGTTACTTCAAATATCTCTGAGCTCTCTCCTGGTGTGAAGTGCTTGAAGTAGGAGCAGTGGTGTTCTGAAAGGGAAAAGGAAATTTAATTTAGTGTGCCTGGAAATCTCTGATAAAATCTCTGTAGTAAAACTGAATTTGCTCTTTATTGATGTATCAAACTTGCAATGTTTTGAAGGTTCCCTGCCCTCGGTGATACTGGCAAACTGGAATTGGATGTGGTTTACCTGGGGGCAGATGAGTGGCACATGAAGAAGATAACTTCTCTCATTCTGTCTTTGGCCATTACATATTTCTGCCTCTCTGTGTAGCTCTATCTCCTGGTGGGATTTCCTCGTGCAGCCTGGCTTTGCTGACGTTCACTCCCATCAGAGCAGTCTGTTAATTTGGTAAGATGGCAGAAGTCCTTGTCTGGACTTGACGTGAGCATGCTTCTGGGTACGTGGGGTACGTATGGAGGGGTTGTGAAGTGAACAGGGGCCAAGAGTGTGGGGCAGGGGGTTGCTGGGAGGAGGGAATTTGGTAGCTGAGTCTCTCAATGACCATGATATTGCTTCATACTCAGCCTAGAGAGAATCAGCCAGCGAAGCAATGTCATGGCTCTCAGTAGACCCATGGGAGGCTCTCAGCCCCATTGGGGTGGGGAAGGGTCTGGTGAGGACGTGCTGACTTGAAGCTTTGGCAGCAGCAGGGTTAGGGTGGAGGGTGTTCTTGCTATTTATAACTGATTTAATTGAAGATTTGAAGGGGCTGGGAGAACAGTTGCTCGCCAGGAATTTGGCTGGCAGGGTGTGATCGTGGAGACGCGCTGAGCAGCGCCAGCTCTGATTGCACTATTCTGCTGAGCTGGGCTGGAGAGGACACGCTCAGCGCCTGCCCCAGCACCCCTCCTGCCCCCTGGGTGGGACTCCCACCAGACTGGGCAGTTGTGCCAAGACTGCACGAAGCACAGGCCCTGCCTGCAGCGAGGGGCCGCCTGCTCAACGCCAGCAGCTCCCGTCCGCTCAGCAGTGGCCTTGGCACCCGTTTCCAGGAGATGCTGGGAGAAAGCCTGGTCCTCTCCAGCATCCAGGCTGGGCCAGGCTGCTCCAGGACAGGCTGTGGGTCAAAGCCTGAGCCGGGGTGTAGGACCATGCAGGGTGTGCTCTGGGTTTCTGCCTGGGGGCACATTGGGTGTTTCTGTGGTGATTTACAGCGTTGATTTCTAGTGGCAAGAAGATAGCAGCGTATGGTATGTTACCTGCTGGACCTTGTGGGGGTTTTCTGTCATGTAAAAAGCAGGTTTTGGGGTTACTGATTCAAGGAGGATTTGTTTACTCTCTCCCAGGAGATCAACAATTGTAAAACAGGGCGTTCGGACCTGTTAGTGCAAGATTCCTTCAAGATGTTTTATCTACTTTTTGGTTTTCTGAGCTGACTTTTATTGCATCTGCAGCTTCTCCTTGCTGGAGACTAGGCTGCTGCTCAGCTCTGGCATCTCCTGGCCTGTTCCTAGCAAATGACTGGAAGGAACATATTTGAACCTAGACCTCTGTGACTGAAGCTGGATATTTTGAGCCCCAGAGCAGATGTTGTTTGCCCCTGCCATCAACTGAGTGGTGGCTGAGGCTGAGCATCATGTCTGGTGATCCCACATGGAGGATCCTTTGGCTCCTGTGATAAAGAGGAAGGACATGAGGTGAAACTGGGTCATTGCATTTTGGGTTGTTTGGCTTGGCTTTCAGTTCATTCTCTGAAAAGCCTGAACTCAAAGGAGTCCCCAGGTGTGTCAGCTGTACAAAGCCCAAGGTGAAGCCCCCCAGACATGGTGTGGTGGGGGACACAGCACAGCTTTGTGGCCATTGCAGGTGAGCCAAACCAGCCCAGTCCACCCTCCAGTCTGTGAAGGCTCATCAGAGAGGGAGCACCCCCCCCTTCTTTTGTAGGCAGAATTATCTGCAGGAAAAGGAACTGCCTCTGTGTCTTGTGGCTCATAGCAAAGCTCTGCCAAGGTACAACAAATGTGGTTATCACAGAAGTGAGCTGGCTCTCAGGGAGGTGTTTTTGGAAAATGCATTTATTGTGGTAAAATAGAACCATTTTCGTTTTAGTGAATTGATCTATTGTTTTCAGTTTAAAGATGCTTTGGTGCTCTGCTGAGCTGGGAGTATCTGTTTCAACAAGGCTCCATGTTATTCAGGAGAACTGAGGCACTTCAACGCCTCTCTGGTGCCATCATTAATAGGAGAAAAACCCATTTGTGTCACACCACATTTACATAATGGATAGGATTTTAAATGGGTTTTGTAATGGATGAAAACTGTGTGGCAATCTTTGTTTCCCTCCACTCCTAATTGCATTATCTCTGCCACGAGGCCACCTCAGTGTGCTGATGGGAACAGCCCAGAGTCTCTGTGGTCATTAAGACTCACATGAACTTCAGGGTTGTAACGTGGTTTATGACACAGTGCCCTCCCCCTGCCAGCTCCCCTCCCTTCAGACCCACCATTCCTGGATGACCACTGTGTGGGGGCAAATGGGCCAATCCATGTTTGCTCTCTCCATGCAGAGCCAAACTCCAGTGCCACACGCTGCTGGATGCAGCCATGGGACGCAGCAGAAGCTGAACTGTGGCTGAACTTTGGGGTCTACAAAATGGAAACCTCATGGGGGAAGAGAGGACAGAAAGGCCATGAGATGTTTGGACCATGCAGAGTTTCAGGTGGCAGCTGAAACTGATGAAACCCATGAGCATTGAAGTGACACTGGCCAAGGGGCTGGAGTCCACCTTGCTCTTGAACCTAAGATGGACACTAGGACGTGGGGTTTTGTGGCAGGCTGGATGGTTAGAAAAGCCTGCATTTTAATGTGAGGTTTCCACTGGTGTTAGTCTGGGAGACAGGACCTGTTGCTGTGATTAGAGGAGGTGTTATGGTGAGGGCTGAGTGGTGGAAGGGGACAGAACTTGGGCTCTGACCTGGCCAACCAGCCAGAGGAAGGCCTTTGACACACACTGAATTTTGGAGACAGTATCTCCAGGTATTTGAATTTCATAGTGGTCTGGCAGAGTGAGAGGTTTGTGCAGACAGGGGCAATGTGGCAGCCCTGCTGCTGATAACCCATTTGCTCAGGCACTTTTCCTCTCCAGTGGCCTGAACTCAGTTTCCCATAGTTGCAAGGAGCTATTTAACCTGCTGGCAGGACACAGAGACTGTGGAGCATCCCCCCTGCTGCTGCCCAGCATGCAGGTGCACAAGAGGACAACACCTACACGGAGTTACTGGCAGTGAGAGCAAACTCAGTTACCACCTGTAGTAAACTGCCTCACTGCCCACAGAACACAGTCAAAAATGCCTCAGTATCACTCTGAGTTTGCCCAGTTTTAACAGCCATCTCCCTGATCCTTTTATTTCTTACAGCAGGACGCTGAACCCTTTCCAATTTGTCAACATCCTCGGAAGAGGGCTGTAAAATTTTAAAGCTCTGCTTAAATCACAGCCCTGCTTTGTGGACTGTGAGCCAAGTCATCCTCCCCATTTTGCACTGTGCTGAGCCCCAAACCTAATAAATAATGTTAATTGTGCCATCCATTTCCTCCTCAGGGAGCGACTGGTAAATGGTTATTAATGCAGTGATAAATTCTTATGTTTCTTTTCCAGCCCTGGCAGTAATGCCTGGTTATGTCTCATGATTTTCAGGAAAACAAGTGCCCACATCTGCTCTTTTACTGCATGTTTGTTCATTCACGTTTTCTCGACTGCTGCAGGTCTCAGAACCCTGGTGCTTCCCCGCTGACATCCCTTCCCAGAAGTGAGGAATCAATCGTGAGGCTGCAGCAGCGTTTAGCAGCCGGGTCCACGGGGGCTCCTGGGGTGAGTAACCCGGGGACTAAAATATATATATTATAACTGAGGTCCAGCTTTCACCCTTGGAAACCTCGGATGCTAATTACAACACAGGACGCCATCCAGATTCCCAAATATCTTTGAAAACTGGAAAAGCACCTCCAGGGTGGGGCGGGTGGCTCAGCGCCCCCCCAGCATTGACTGTGGCGCTGGGAGGTGGTTCAATGCCCAAGCGAGCACATGCTGGTGTCTGTCAAAGGCAGTAGCTGCTGCCCTGCCTGTGAATCTGCTTTTTGCAGCAGATGGGTGTTTATGAGTTTTATATTTACCCCGCAGTTGTGGGATTTTTGGTGGTTATCTCTCTTGTTTTTCCTTTGGTGGGGGTTTCCCCCCGTGCCTGAGGAAGGGTGTACAGAGGAGAGTGTTTCTAGGCTCCTAAGTACCTTCGCAGAGACATTAAGCATACGGATGACACACTCCCAAATTTGGTTAGAGGCAGATCTGAACGCTGGGGCTGAGCTCCTCTCTTCAGAACATGTAATTTGGCCAAAGAGATAAAGAATTGCAGTAATACACGGAATACACTGTAAGGCCAGGCAGTAAGATTTTCCACAGGAAATTTTCAAATACGTGTTAAGATAGAGATTTCATTTCAAGCAGCGAGTCTAACGTGAAGGCAATCCTGTTATTTCTGTTCTGGAAAGCATCCAGTAGCCTCTAAGCCTTCTGCAAAAGCAGCGTGGCTCAGGCACGGGGGGGTATTAGTGCACGCCGCACCAGTGCTGCTGACTTTGCGATCAGCAGAAGCATAATGAGCTCCTTTCACCCGGGAACGGAGCGGTCTTCCCGGAAAGCAGCTGAGCCCACTCCCCCCACCCTCCCCATCCCCTGCGCTGGAGGAATCCGGGATGGAGATGTACGTGGGACCAGGCTGCTGTCCCCGAGGTGGGGGGATGCTCAGGAGGTCACTGAGAAATTGCTTCAGACTCAGTTTATGACTTTTTTGGGGAGGGGAAGTTGGCAAAATATACTGCAGGTCCCTCTTCCTCCCTGCCCTGAGGAGCAGTTGCTAGTGAAGCAGCTCAGAGATAACCTAACGCCTGCTGTGAACAGGCTGTTCCCTTGTAGCTCTGTGCATCTGGAAATCCTAAAGATCCAGCTATGTACAGCGAACTCATAAATCCTTTTTCTTGCCCGCTGCTGTCGGTGTGCCTGGCTGCTGCGGGACCCTTGGCTGATGTCAGCAAAATTTCCACCATCCCAGTTTCACTCTGTGATTTCCACCGTGTCCAAGCATGGAAGGGAAGGAGCCCTTCTCCCCACCACCGCCATGGTCGTGCAAGAGACTCAAATATGGTCACAAACAGGCGTACAAGGCAAGAGAGCGCAGGCTTACAGCGAGAGGGGTGACACTGAGGTGTGCTGGCAGACCACCACGAAACAGCCCCATGCAGCCCCATGCTAAATTAGCTGCCACAGCAACACGCA